GGCAAAGCTGTGGGAACCTTGCGAACCTTGGGGGAACCTTGTGGGGCAAAGTTGTGGGAACCTTGTGGAACAAAGTTGTGGGAACCTTGTGGAACAAAATTGTGGGAACCTCGTAGGAACGTTGGAGCAAAGCTGTGGGAACCTTGGGGGAACCGGACAAAGTTGTGGGAACCTTGGAACCTTGTGGGAACCTTGGAAGAACCTTGTGGGGCAAAGTTGTGGAACGATGTTGTTGGCACCTTGAGAGCCTTGTGGTGCAAAGTTGTGGGAACCTTACCTTGCAAAAAAGTTGTGGGAACCTTGTAGGAACCTTGAAGCAAAATGGGCAAAGTTGTGGGAAGCTTGTGGGAACCTTGCAGCAAAGTTGTGGGAACCTTGCGCGAACCTTGGAGCAAAGCTGTGGGAACCTTGGAGCAAAGTTGCGGAACAAAGTTGTGGGAACCTTGGGAACTTTGGGAACCTTGCAGGAACCTTGCAAGAACCTTGGGAACCTTGTGGGAACCTGGCGGGAACCTTGGAACCTTGTGGGAACCTCGTGGGAACCTGGGGGAATGTCTTTGGGAGCTGCTCCGGCTTGCTCCGAAACCTTTACTATGGCTGAAGACCCCAAAGCATGCTGCTGTTGGGGAAAAATCAATGGAGCCACAAGTTGATCTTGTCCAAGGACGCTACTAGGGGCTCCTGGCCTTACTACTAGGAGCAAGAAGCTACTAGGAGCAAGGGCATCACTACTAGGGGCTCCTGGCATCGCTACTAGGAGCATTCTTACTACCGATGAACCTTTTACCGGTAACTGTAACGGGTGTTTCAGGCGGTGTTGAATCGCATGTGTTGCCAAAGAGTCCTGGGCCGAAATACACGCGCTCAAAGATCTCAGTGAACTGATGCGCGGTGACTGGGTGGATCTTGTTCATGGGAGTTCCGCAGTCCTTAGAGGCTTGGAGTTCAGTCGAGTCAAAAGAGCTTTTCTTGTTGGCCGACCTCCTTTTGTATTTAAAGCCCGGGAGGTAGGAACTAGCTAGAGGTAGCTAGTAGTAGCTAGGTAGCTACTAGTAGCTTAAGACGCTACTAGTAACTGGACGCAGGATAGCTCACGCTCGCACTAATGATTTGGTTGGGAAACTTAATGAATAGCCATTGCATAAATCACGAAATGAATCACGAATCATGAAACGAATCACAATTCACAAATCACCCGGAGTAACGGATCACGCGGCTGAATCACGACTTCCGGATTCCGGATCACCGCAGATTAATGTCTGCACCGTTTTTAAAAGTGGTGTTGATGTGTTGATTTCCTTTAGGATTCCTTTTGATCTCGATTGATTACCTTTGAACGTGTTTTACAATTTTTGTTAGCTTCCTTTATTAATAGTATGATACTGCAAACAACTATTCCGCAAAGAGGGTAGCTCAGTACACTAGAAATCTTGATGATTATCGCCCCCTATAAATAGTGTCTTCTCTTTAGGTCTTTAATTAAAACACCTCCTGACTCCTGACCTCCTTGAATAATTTCTACGCTTTTACATTCCTCTTGATTTCCTTTTAGCTCCTGCTGATGTCGTCTTTAATTCCTTGTGATTTCCTTTTGATTCCTTTCTTTTTATTTCCTTTTGATTTCCTTCTATTTGCTTTTGATTTCCTTTTATTTCCTTTTGATGTCCTTTCGATTCCTTTTGATTTCCTTTTGATTTCCTTTGGTTTCCATTTATTTCTGTTTGCTTCTTCCAGATTCAATTTATAGTCAGGAGTCTCATAGATTCGACTAGGGGGGTGTTCACGCTAATCAAGAGTCGACATTACTAGAGACTGCCTACTCAATTGAGTAAGGAGTAAACATGAAACTAGTAGCTGGACACAGGATAGCTCACGCTGAGGAAGCTTGCTTGAAGAAGCGCTCGCAATACCAATTTGGTTCCTAGATGACTATGACATAACGTTCTCCAGTCATTTTTACAAGCGTGTGATGCATCTCCCAATGGCACAAGATTGTCGAGTGATGTCGAGTGTCTGTGTTCACGCCACCCCAGTAGAAGTTGTCGCCCACATTGATAAAGAGGTCGGGCTTTGTGTCTGGTGCTCGCTTCTTGATGGCATCGGCAACCTTGACCTGCGCCCGAGTCAAGATTCCTGTCGTTTCGACTGTGTGAAACACATACTCCTGCCGCAGCCTGCCTGTGCTCTGTAGTCGATTTCCGGCGAGTAGTGGCAGCTTTTGGGGCAGTCCTGCGAAGCTGCAATCAACACACCCTTTCCAAGCGGGCGTCACCAGTGCTCTTCGCCTGACCACCAAAGCAGCCCATCATCGTGTCTGTGTCACAGGAGCCACGCCATCTCGCCATGGTGTGTGGCCCTCCTGTGTGACCTCCTCGATACCTCGAAAGCAAAAAGCTACTAGTAGCAAAGGGCATCGCTACTAGGAGCAAGGACGCTACTAGGGGCTCTTGGCCGTACTACTAGGAGCATTCTTGCTACTAGTAACAAGAAGCTACTAGTAGCTAGAAGCTATTAGGTGGAGGTCTGTTGGATGCTCGGTGACGCCGCGGACGCCACCGCGGAATCACCGAGTCGAGTGCTGACGAAGCACTGAATCATACTCCCGGGATTAGTTCCCACGAGGGAACCCCAGTCACCAATGGCATAGATGTGATGCTCCTTTGGAGGGAGCGCCAATCAGAACACGTCTAATGAAAAAGAGATGAACAATGAAAAAAAATGGAAAAAAAGTAAGGGCCCTTCTGTTCAAGGGCCCGATTTCAAGGGGCCCAAACTCCTTCTCTTTGTTTGTTGCTGCTACTTGGCTGTCCTTGTCCTCGGTGATCTTCATGGCAGGCCATTCAACACCATTGTACTGCTGCACGGTTTTGGGGGGGGTCCATGCCACCTCGACGACCAACCTTCAAGACACTCGGTCCCTGGTAGGCTGGTGCCTCATAGGTGTCTGCGCTTGCACCACCACAGCTAGGACCACCTGAAAGATTGGGCAAGAATGGCAAGCTATTAGAAACAAGTGCATCGCTACTAGTAACAAGGGCATTACTACTAGGAACAATAATGTTTGCTATTAGGTTGGAGATGGTTGGAGCACATCGCTAGGTTGGAGGCCATCACTGTAGGTTGGAGGCCATGGCTCGTAGGTTGGAGGTCGTAGGTTGGAGGCCATCCCTCCTAGGTTGGAGTCGGAGGTTGGAGGCCATTCCTCCTAGGTTGGAGGTCGTAGGTTGGAGGCCATCCCTCCTAGGTTG